AATAAAATACATATTATTTTATTAAATCATATTCTTATTAATACAATTTTCAACAGCTTCCTATTGCCCATCAATCAAAGCTTTTCAAAATATACCCATTCAAACCTACTTCAGAGATTACTTCCCTGACAAGCTATGGGTAAACTGGCCTCCCCACTGCCTTACCCACACACCAAGACCTTTCCCACCACCATGCTGCTGCTCAGGTTGTTCCTTCCCTCTGCTCTCACTGATAATCCCCTTTCCTGATCATGGGTTGTATCTGAAATCTGTACCAAATACAACTTCCTTATGCAGTATGCTGGTTCTCATTTCCCTCTACTGCTCAACCTACATTATTCCTCTCTCCCCACTTTGATAGTTTGTGGTTTATTACTGATGACTCCTCTGTCTGCTATGATGTATCACTGTGTAACCAAGCAGAGGAAAACTTTCAGGTGGATTAAAAGAAAGGGGCAAATGAAAGAATTATCATCATATGTTTTGAATCAACATGCTTGAGTATTTAAAGGTAAAGAACTTGCACTGTTTGTCTATGCTGTATACATTTTTTTTTTTTTTTTTGAGACAGTGTCAAACTGCTGCCCAGGCTGGAGTGCAGGGGCATGATCTTGGCACACTACAACCTTTGCCTCCCGAGTTCAACTGATTTTCCTGCCTCAGCCTCCTGAGTAGCTGGGACTACAAGTATGTGCCACCATGCCTGGTTAATTTTTATATTTTTAGTAGAGACAGGGTTTCGCCATGTTGGCCAGGCTGGTCTTGAACTCCTGACCTCAGGTGATCCACCCACCTCAGCCTCCCAAAGTGCTGAGATTACAGGCATGAGCAACCGTGCTCAACTGTCGTATACATTTTTATCAGCCCAAATAGAAGATTTTGAAAATAAAGACAAATGATTAACTTTTTCTGCATTCTCATAAAAATCAAATACATTAGCCACTTAGTCTAATTAGTAATACTTTCTTACTATATTTATTTTAAAAATAATAAAGTTATTTAAAGTAAAAACCTTAATATACCTTTGCATTAAATAACAGAGAAAAATGATTTTGAGGCAAGACAGGTATCTAAATTCCTCAGGGGAATTTTCTCTAATTCACATATTTCTTCCTAGACAAATGCTTCCTTCCTTCCTACTCTCTTCTTCCAGCTAACAACTCTACTATTATAGTAAGCTACTGTGACTCATGAGCCTATGCCACAGTGTTTAGTAGATACACACCAAAAGTTTCAAAAAAATGAGATAATATGGTTCTAGTCAACATCAGAGGTAAAATAATTTTTAGTATTTCCTATGGACAAAATCCTCAATATGCCTACCATAATCTGCTGGTGTATAATTCAGAAGTTCAAATTGCCAGTGCTTATAGCACGAATAATTCTGGTACATGTCAAATATTTCTCGGGTAAATTGTTGGCAGATGTCACCTAAAAGAAAATACAAAAAATATTTAGTCAGAACAAATTTCTGAAACCCATCCTTAAGACTAAGTCCTTCAGGAAATAAAGAATCACTATTTCCAAATTTAAATACATTTAATGGACTTTTAAAGTCAGTATTATCAAATAAATGTAAAAGTCAAGGACTTTTTAGATCATTTAAATAATAAAACAAGTTTACTGACCTCCAGTAGTTCTTCCAGATGTCACCTCTAAAATAACATCATTTTTGTCGTATTTCTCCTTTGGCACAAGGCTCTGGAAAAGCTGGAATAAAAATCAGCATTTTTGTGTATATTTTCCCCGGTATACTATTATTACTTGAATTTAGATAAAAGCCCCCCAAAACATTGAAAAAAAAGCAGTAATTGGCAAAATCATATAGTATCCCAATGTGGGTATTCCAAAAATGTTATAATAAGTATAACTAATTAGGCCTAAAATAGGTGATCAATTCATGTTAACAATGGAGTTACTTGTTAGTCTACTTTCTGCACTGTTATCAGATTATCTTAATTTTCTAGAATGCAGAAGTTCAGATCAAAGTCCAGGGTGTTCCATTCAATTTTCTTCAGATTTTGGCTCTTATAATTAGTTCTGAACAGTAGCTTCTTTCATCTAATGAATGAAGTAAGGCTTTGAAAGTCTTCGCTTTGACAAATGATTTCATATTATCTCCTGCTGTAACTGACAGCAGACACCATGCCATGCTGTGCCTTCTCAGCAGAGTCGCTCTAATTAAAGACTATGTTGAAGACTCCCAAGATAAGGCTCAAATGGAGTTTCTCAGCTGTGACCAGAAAAAAAAGGGGCTTCCTAATAAAGAAAGGCAACAACTTTCCTCTTAGGAAGAAAAGGGAAGTAATTTCATTATTACTAAAAGGTTTTTCAAATCAAACTAAAAGTACCTACATGTCATGGCTCTCCCTACTGCTGATTTCTGAAATACTCCGTCTCTGCTAGAAATGACATAGTCTATGGGAGATAATATCAGACTAAGAGTCAAACATCTTCTGCCCTTGATTAACTGGTTCACTTCGTAATAAAAATAACTGATATCCCACTTAACCTTCCCCTTAACTTTTCAAAAAGTCCGTCTCTTGGATTCCCAGAGCAAGACAGAGTGAAGGTAGGAGGATGGCAAATATGACAGAGGGAGACACGGTATACAGTAGTGTGTTCTTCATTGTCTTTGTCATTGAGCAAGAAGGAAAACAGACCACTATTGAAGGGAAATCTTCCATTTCCATGTCTAGGAGATATCAGCTGGTGCTGATACAGTATCATGAACCCTGAGAGGATCCGGTATGCGACACCCCTACTAGACCTAACTAAAGATGTGTGTTAACCAACTATCTCTACACCTTTGGATTCATTCCATTCTATCCAGATTGCAAATTTCCAATCCTTAATTAACAGTCACCATGAACTCCTCCTCTTCTCACACTTAAAACCCTCTGACTCTTCCCTGTGGTGAACTAAATTTCTTTACCAGCATGTATTCTCTTGCTTAACAAGTTAATAGACTCAACTCTGAATTTTTTTTTTTTTTTTACCCTGGGAGTCTCTGTTTTTTAATTTGATATCATAATTTCTTCATTCTAATTCTGCAGTAAATTATAGAAAACCAGCTTGATCACATATCATAAGAGAACACTTAAAAGTATTTGGAAAGCACCTTGAGCACCAAAGCAGAGTCTAACAAAAACAGTATTCCTTTATATAACAGTACTGAAATGAGCCTACCTCTGAAAACCTACCTCACTGTATAACATGTTGATTTTTTGAGCAATGGTTTGCCTTTCTTCCAGTGCAAGTTCTTGTAACTGCTTTTCATCTTGTTTACTTAGGCCTAAAAGCCAGCAACAGAAATAATGTTAACGTTTTTAAATCCTTACAGAGAAACTCCTAGGTAGCATGTTCCTCTTTGGCTACTAAGTTTTATTTCAGTTTTAAAGGCAAGGGATTATATACAAAGGAACATTTAGAATACCTGGAGAATGTCAATTAACAAGTATTTGCAGAGCATTTCCAAAAACCTCAATGTGAAAAGCAGTATAATCATGCCCTCCAAAAGCTTGTGTTTATTTAAAAGGTAAAATAGCTTAAAGGATTTAATATCTAAACAAATCAATTTATTAAGAGAAGTGACAAAAATATGGTTAATATAGAAACCCACATTTACAAAGCTTATTATTTGAATGGCTATATAAATCAGTGACTAATCAAATAAGTTTAAAAAAGGACTAGCTAATTAAATATAAACCCAAATCTATTAATAGTAGTGACAAAAATATGCTTAATATAGAAACCCATATTTACAAAGCTCGTTATTTGAATGTCTATAATTATGTAAATTGGTGATTAATCAAAGAGGTATAAAAAGGGATATAGCTAATTAAATATACACCCAAATAAGGTAAATTTTAGAGCAAACTGGAGTGAGCACTTCTTGTCTAAAGGTGGCAGCTGTAACTCAGCACACTGTGACACGGTCCAGCACAGCTAGAACTTCCATATTATCCAAGAGAAGTCAGAAATCAGAATTCTTAAAATCTCTTGTACATACTCAGTTCACTTTTTTTTTTTTTTAAGAGAGATGAGGACTCATTATGTTGCGCAGGCTGACGTGCAGTAGCTATTCACAGATGTGATCATGGCGCACTACAGCCTCAAACTCCTGGACTCAAGCGATCTTCCTGCTCCAGCTTCCCAAGTAGCTGAGATTACAGGCACGTGCCACTGTGCCTAGCTTAGCACAGTATTTTAAAACACAGAGCATGGCCAGGTATGGTAGCCCATGCCTATAATCCCAGCACTTTGGGAGGCCAAGGCAGGTGGATCACTTGAGGTCAGAAGTTTGAGACCAGCCTGGCCAATGTGGTGAAACCCCATCTCTACTAAAACTATAAAAATTATACAGGCTTGGTGGTGCACGCCTGTACTCCCAGCTACTCAGGAGGCTGAGGCAGGAGAATCGCTTGAACCCGGGAGGCAGAGGTTGCAATGAGCAAATATTGCACCACTGCACTCCAGCCTGGGTGACAGAGAAAGACTATCTCAAAAAACAAAATAAAATACATATCATGTGTGTCAGACAAAACATACATTTTTGTAACCTGTCCTTTGTGGGGAAAATGGGCCTTTTTTTTATTATTTCCAAAGCAGAAAGTTAAATCATGGAATTCTAGCAAAACAAGATAATGATGATCTAGTTATTGACCAAGGATGGTAGATCTCATGACCTTTGACTCCACTGCTTTAGAGGCCTTCGTCAGTGGCCATTGCTGCAAATTGAGGTAAAAAATTCTGACTCTTAACAATAATTATAAAGAAAATAGAAATGAAGAATCATAATTACAAAGAGAAGACTCTTTTATTCTCTAATCATGAAAGTCATTAGGGTCTGGTGGGATTCTATGCTTCATTCAAGCTTTCAACATTTAACATTTTGCTAGACACTGCTAGTTTCTGGGGAGACAAGGAAGAAAAAAACATGGCTTCAGGCCTCAAGTGGCCCAGTCTGGTGGCAAACACATATACATGATTACAATATGTGACAGGGCAGTGCCTGTGTGCCATGGGGGCATAAATGAAGGGGACTAAACCAGACTTCAGCACTTAAGGAGGGCTTCCTGGCTAAGGCATCGTCTGAACTAATTCTAATTATGGATCATCTGTTGTATAATTTTAATGTCACCACTGGTACCACATTGTGCACATATGTCACAAATGGAAACCAGGCTGACATTACTTAATAGATACCTGCTGGTTCAAAGGTATCAGAAAAACCTTCTGATTTGCAATCATATAAAATTATTTTTGTGGTCTCTTATTATTTGCTGTAAACCTGTAGAATCCTGTCTAATTCAATTTCATTATATCAACAAAGATTCGAGAACCTATTATACCCCATGTTTGGTGCTGAGATATAAAAATGAGTCAGACACAGGACCTGACCTTGAGGAAGAGACAATGGGGTTAGGGGCTTAGGCAAAGACAATTACATAAAGGATCATATATAAAACAGAGAAAGGCAATCATACTTGTTTTGCAATGGGTACTGAAGTCAAAGTATGACATCCAAGCCAAACTTTGTAAGAGGACTGACTTTTAACAAGGTGAAATGGGTATGTTAACAATGTGAGCAAAGATACAGACGTGGGACAGCATCAAAATATCCAGAGAATGGCAAGTTGTCTATTTTGGTTAGAAGGCAGTATACGAAAAGAGAATTAACATAGTACACTGAGAGGCTGGGGTCACTCTGAAGGGCTTATAAATGCCAAATCTAGAAACCTCTACTTATAGGCAATGGGACAGGTGAATAACATGAATAAGATTGCACTTAGGCTGGGCGCGGTGGCTCAAGCCTGTAATCCCAGCACTTTGGGAGGCCGAGGCGGGTGGATCACAAGGTCAAGAGATCGAGACCATCCTGGTCAACATGGTGAAACCCCGTCTCTACTAAAAATACAAAAAATTAACTGGGCATGGTGGCGCATGCCTGTAATCCCAGCTACTCAGGAGGCTGAGGCAGGAGAATTGCCTGAACCCAGGAGGCGGAGGTTGCGGTGAGCCGAGATCGCGCCATTGCACTCCAGCCTGGGTAACAAGAGCGAAACTCCATCTCAAAAAAAAAGATTGCACTTCGACTGGGAAAGCCTAGAGGTCAGACTACAAGTTAGGGATTGACTGTAATCAGCTAAGTCTGAGATGTAACGAAGATATAAATTAGTGCAAGGAACGAAGGGGACTCATGCAAGATACATCACAGAGGTAGACCCTACGGGACTTTGAATCATCCACCGAGCAGTGATAAGAGCAGAGGCTTTGGAATCTCATTGCTTAGGTTTAAATCCTTGCTCCTGCCCTCATTGGCTGAGTGACCTTTGCAAATTTAACCTTTCAGTCTCCTCATCTATAAAATCAGGGAAAATACAGGCTGGACAACGTAGTGAGACCTCGTCTCTACTAAAAATAAAAAAATACCTGGGAATGGTTGCACACACCTGTAGTCCCAGCTACTTAGGAAGCTGAGGTTCGAGGATTGCTGGATTCCAGGAGTTTGAGGTTAAAGTGTACTATGATTATGCCACTGCATTTAAAAAAAAAAAAAAAAAAAAAAGAGGCCAGACGCAGTAGCTCACACCTGATCCCAGCACTTCAGGAGGCTGAGGCGGGTAGATCACGAGGTCAGGAGTTTGAGACCAGCCTGGCCAATATGCTGAAACCCCATCTCTATTAAAAGTACAAAAATTAGCTGGACATGGTGGTGTGCACCTGTAGTCCCAGCTGCTCGGGAGGCTGAGGCAGGAGAATCAATTGAACCTGGGAGGCAGAGGTTGCAGTGAGCCAAGATCACACCACTGCACTCCATTCTGGGCGACAGAGTGAGACTCTGTCTCAAAACAAAAACAAAACGACAACAACAACAACAAAACAAAGAAAAGGGGGGGGAATAATAATATATACTACTCATAAGGTTACCTAAGCATTCAAATGAGATATTTGTAAAGCACTGAGCTTAGTGCCTAGCACCTAAGAGGACTTTGTAAATGTAGCTATTATTATTATTATTATTATAGAAGAATTGTAGAGCTAGTAGAGCCTTTAGAAATGATGTAATCCAATCTATTAATGTTATTCATGATTCAACCAAGACTGAAAGAAATTATGCCAATTTAATTAGAATGCATTTAGTAAACTCCTACTGTGTACAAGCAATCTTCTCAAAACTAATAATTACAAATTTGTGTGGCATTAAACCTATGTAAGAGACTTGTGGTACCATCAGTAGAAGGTAGAAAAATGTCAGGCTTTAAACATTCAGGACTTTATAGGTATAACAGTGACTGGCCTGTACATCACATATTACCTCTAAGGCTTAATGAGACAAGATGGGGGACAGGAGAAAATCTAGAAACTAAAAGTTAATAGCAAAATCTGGATAAATGTTGAATCATAGGTTAGTTCATTGAACTTTTCTCTCAACTTCTGTATAAAAATTTTGGAAATTTTTCATAAGAGAAAACATGTTGAGGCAATAACAGTATTAAGAAATACTAAAGCCGGGCGTAGTGGCTCACACCTGTAATCCCAGCACTTTGGGAGGCCGAGGTGGGTGGATCATGAGTTGAGGAGTTCGAGACCAGCCTGACCAACATGGTGAAACCCCACATGCACTAAAATTAGAAAAATTGGCTGGGTGTGGTGGAGCATGCCTGTAGTCCTGGCTACTCGGGAGGCTGGGGCAGCAGAATCCCTTGAATTCAAGAGGCAGAATTTGCAGTGAGCCAAGATCACACCATTGCACTCCAATGTGGGCGACAGGGTGAGACTCTGTCTCAAAATAAAAATACTAAAATAAAAAACTAAGATGAAGCATAGCTCGTAGTCTCAGCTACTCAGGAGGCTGAGGCAGGAGGATTGTTTGAGCCCCGGAGTTTGAGTCCAACTTGGGCAACATAGTGAGGCCCCATCCCTTAAAAAAAAAAAGATAAAAAATAAACATGCCATATAAAAAAATAACTCAAATAGATCAAAGACCTAAATGCATGGGCTAAAAATAAAAAATATGTAACTCTTTTAAGAAAACACAGATGTAAATCTTTGTGACCTTAGATTAGGCGATTTTCTTAGATATGATTCTCAAAACTCAAACAATAAGAGAAAAAAAGATAAATTGGACATCATTAAAATTTAAAAATATCATGCTTCAAAGGACAGCATCAAAGATAAAGAGAAAAACCACAGAATGGGAAAGTTTTGCAAATCATATATCTGATTATGGACTTTTATCTAGAATATAAAGACCACTTACAGCTCAATAATAAGAAGACAGTTCAATTAAAAACTGGCAAAGGAACTGAGCAGTCATTTCCCCCAACATGATATACAAATGGCCAAAAAGCACTAGAAAAGATGCTCAACATCATTAATCTTCAGGAAAATGCAAATCAAAACCACAATAAGATACCACTTCACACCCATAGGATTGGTAAGCTCCTTAGGGCTTACCCCTTGCTTCCTACAACAATGCCTGGCTCTTAGTAAGCCTCCAGCAGATGCTGGCTGAATAAATGACTAAATTAATGACTGAGTTAACCTTACCAGATTCCTAGAAAAAAAAATCACGTTAATTAAACTACTACAAGAAATCTAGAAACAGTATTTAGATATTTCCACCTTGAAATCCTAGCATGGCAACCCACATATAAACATATTCAGATTTTAGAAGGTTCTAGATTTGAAAAATAGGTAGAACTGATTGTTTTCAACACCTGGTTGGTAGTGTATAAACTTCTGGAGAATGGGGGTCTTGTCCGAGTGGAGATGCTTTGTTTGGTGCTTAAAGTAATAATAAAGACACTTAGGCTTATTATCTGATGATAATAACTATGAATAATTCTAGGATTCTAAGAAATCTGTTAGCTGTTTGTCCTGGCAAATATTTCCAGCCATTAAACATACAAATTCCAAGTAATCTAAAACTACAATTGGAATAAACATTAAAGAATAAATTCAACATTTACAACATTAAATATAAAGCTTCTTAGGCTGACGTGGTGCTCACGCCTGTAATCCCAGCACTTTGGGAGGCCAAGGTGGATGGATCACCTGAGGTCAGGAGTTTGAGACCAGCATGGCCAACATGGTGAAACCCCGTCTCTACTAAAAATACAAAAATTAGCTGGGCGTGGTGGTATGCTCCTATAGTCCCGGTTACTCGGGAAGCTGAGGTAGGAGAATCGCTTGAACCCTGGAGGCAGAGGTTGCAGTGAGCCAAGATTGCACCACTGCACTCCAGCTTGGGTGAGAGAGTGAGACTCTGCCTCAAAAAAAAAAAAAAAAAAAGAAATATAAAGCTTCCTTCCTTCATGGCTCCACTAACACGTGGTCTCCTCCAGGAAGCTTTCCTCTTTGCTCCCATGAAACCCTGTACCTTCCTCTAGTAGAGCAGGTCTCACATTATAAACAATACTTAAATTTTAAGTTTCTCACGTTAGATCATAGAAGCCCGTTGATGGGGTAGGAACTGTATGTGTAGCCATAGCATGTAGCTACAGTGTTCAATAAAGGTTTGCTCAATAAAATAAAGTTTCTGAAAAGGCCAACATTTTGTCTCGCAGACTCTAAGACCATGGCAAGTACCACGAGGAGCCCAGTTACTTAGTATAGTTGGTCTTTAGCAGCTAAAGTATGTACAGAATCCTGTTCTTTCCAGTTGTTGAACTTATTACCTGTAGGTTTTATGAAAGACTGAGTTCAGGCCAGCCTCAGTGGCCCAGTGGCCATAATCACGTCACCTTGGAAGGCCCTGGCACAGCAGTCCTAGCTACTCAGGATGCTGAGATGGGAGGCCAGGACTTAGAGGTTACAGTGAGCTATGAATGAGTCACTGTACTCCTGCCTGCGCAACAAGTGAGACCCTGTTTCAGTGGAAAACGAAACAAAACAAAGACTAAGTTCAATAAAGCTTGAACTTAGAAAATCAAACCTGTACTTACACACACACATATAAGTATGTGGTTTTTTTTCATAGCTCTTCCATAGGACACATATGTATCTTTTACCTACTTTTACACATTGATTCTAATTCTTCAATTGCTTGTTTAGCCTCCTGAATTTCTTGGTAAATGGCTGCAAGAGGTGCCAACTCAGCACGCCTTCTGTTCAAGGACCTTCGGTTCTCTTCATTCACGGAGAAATGCTGCAGACATTGCTCAAGTGTTTGGTACTCCTTATTCAGGTTCTCCATATATTTCTGTAGTGCTTTATGCTTCCAGAGCATCCTGGTGTCTTGATGACAATATCTCCTGGACCAATTCTTACTTAGCAGATGATGAAGAATGCAATTCCTGTTTTGTCTAGAAACCTGCATCCTTGTATCAAAATGTATCTGTCCAAATTGATGAGAATGGAGCTGGATGTGACAGTGGAGGTAACCATTAAGAGATGGACGTCTAAAAAGCCAAACACACAGGTGTCGATTCATCTCAGCATCTGAAATACAACAAACACAGACTTTTAAAAAATCAGCTGTAAAAATACATACATAATAAAGCTGGAAGGAACATCAAAAAATCTTGTTTCATTTACTGTCTCAGCCAACTCCAAACAGTCGTAAAATCCAACTACCTACAAAAAGAAAATAATTCTTCAAATGTATGAATAATGTATTAAAATAAATAAAAACACATCCTGGCCAACATGGTGAAACCCTGTCTCTGCTCAAAATACAAAAATTAGCTGAGTGTGGTGGGATGTGCCTGTAATCCCAGGTACTTGGGAGGCTGAGGCAGAAGAATCCCTTGAACCTGGGAGGCGGAGATTGCAGTGAGCTGAGATTGCGGCACTGCACTCCAGCCTGGCGACACAGTGAGACTCTGTCTCAAAAAAATAATAATAATAAATAATAAAAATAAATAAATAAAAACAGCACTGCTTCCTACCTGCTCAACATATGGAATTAACTAAAGCATATGAGGAGTACAACTAACAAATACATCAACCGAATGAATTAAATCAGTTATTTTCTAGAAAGTATCCAGAATCTAGAATTGAGTGTATAAACAAGCTCTTGGCAGCAATGAAAACATACAAACTTAAGGTGGCTCAAAGAGTCACTTTCTAAAGTTTGGAGAAAATATTATTATTATCTTGTATAATTCTTTAATTTTAAGGATCTAGATGTCCAAGGAAGTCAAGTAACTTAATCTATTTAGTCGGCTGGATAGAGACAGAGCTGGTATTAGAATATAAGCTGTCTCTTCAGGACTCAGTACTTTTCAAAAGTGCTTCCCTTTCAGTTGAGATCCTAAAGGAAGAACAGTTCAAGTATTAACAGACCAAGAAAGTAGGGCTGGTGAAAAGCAGACAGTGGCAACAATTATATTAAGTGAAAAAAGCAAGGGACAAAGTAGAATCTCAATTACATTTAAAAACTATTCTACAAAATGTGGAATACATGTTACAAAAAAAGCACATAGAGTATTTTTTATAAAGAAAGTTAAATAAGAAACATACCAAAATGTGCCGGGCACAGTGGCTCACACCTGTAATCCTAGCACTTTAGGAGGCCAAGGCAGGTGGATCATCTGAGGTCAGGAGTTCAAGACCAGCCTGGCAACATGGGAAAATCCTGTCTCTAATAAAAATACCAAAAAAAAATTAGCCAGGCTTGATGGCACGTGACTGTAGTCCCAGCTCCTTGGGAAGCTGAGGCAGGAGAATTGCTTGAACCTGGGAGGTGGAGGTTGCAGTGAGCCAAGATCGCACCACTGCACTACAGCATAGGTGACAAAGCAAGACTCCATCTCCAAAAAAAAAGAAACATACTGCCGGGCGCAGTGGCTCACGCCTGTAATCCTAACACTTTGGGAGGCCGAGGTGGGTGGATCACCTGAGGTCAGGAGTTCAAGACCAGCCTGTCCAACATGGTGAAACCCCATCTTTAAAAATAATAATTTAAAAAGAAACATACCAAAATGTTAATAAAATGATTTATAGTTGTGAGATTATGAATACATTTTGCTTGCGATTTTTTCTACTTTTCAGTGTTTTCCAAGTCTCCTGCACATATAGCATGGATTACATTCATAATCAGGAAAAAAAAGGTTAGTTTAAAAAATTACAGGTTATGTGAAATTGGCTGTGTACAATAATTATCTGTTCTCCTCCCCTCCAACAGAGATAATCAAGAGCTAACAAAAGTACACAATGGTCTTACTAAGAAAGAGAAAATATAGTGTTCCAAGAAAAACACTTTGCCCCTAAAACCCCGAGGTTCAAAGTTGAAATAAGGGTCAAGCCACGCACAGTAGTATACACCTATTGTCCCAGCTACCCAGGAGACTGAGGCAGGAGGATCTCTTGAGCCCAGGAGTTCAAGGCCAGCCTGAGCAACATAGTGAGACTCCAACTCAAAAAAAGAATGGTCAAAATTTATCAAAATCAACCTGTACTGTCTCCAGTGATCCTACTATGCTAGGAGGTGCATTGATACATTAGGTCATTTGATCACTGTAAGTCTGTTAACTTAGCATTATCACCTAGGAAATAAAATATTCAGAATGGTTTTAAAATATTCAAAGTTTCCAGGGTTCTACTGATAGATTTTAGGATACTGCATCACATTATTAAAAGAAATGTGGAAGAAAGCACCAATGGCCAGCTGTCACAAACGTTACACTCCATCGCCCCAATGTTTCAAGCGTGTTAGAGAAAGTGTGTCCACTTGCTAACAGGCAGAATAAAGACTAATAAATACATGTCTCTAATGCTTATTGCTAAAATTTCCATTTTAGGAACAATAGTAGAACGAATAACTTTCAAATTCATGAATCTTAACATTAAAGAAGAAAAAAAAAAAACCCAAGATGTTTACTCTCCAAGATTAAATACACCTGAGAACAGCACGGCTTCGTCATTACCGATCACAGTAACAGTATTACTCTGATGCTTTAGGGAACGTTCTGAGCGTCGGCAGGTCAGAAGTGACAGCCCGCGGGGCACCAGCACGGGCAAACCATGCTGTGTAACTCAGTATATGGAGTGATTCCATAAAGAGGCAATATTGGAGGCGGCGGGGAAGATCAGGAAAGAACTGTGAATACCTAAGAAAAAGAAGAATGGAAGTTAGCTCTCTTTACTGAGGCCGGAGCCTTCCGAGACCCACCGCATTTCAGCCCGACAAACCCGAGAGCACGTCCACTTCCTGGTTCACTTCTTCCGGGTTAACACATGCTCCCAGCCCCTCCTCTGCCACTACCCTTCTCCGGAGGAGTAGTCCTCGAGCATGCGTTAACAATGGACTAAAAAGACATAACTGAACTAAATGAGAAAAATGAAAAAAGCGAGAATGAAACTGTCATGAGAATACCGGCCTCGCGCCACACTTATCCAGATTGCGACCCCAGAGCGTGGGTGCAGATGGTGGGAGGGGTCAAGGCGGGAATAAACTACAACTTTCAGGAGCGACCACCAAAGAATCCTGGGAGTCGTAGTTTACCTTGCGGCAGCCTCCAACCCCCTATGCAGCCAAAGGTGGAGCTTTTGGTTTTCACAGTTAACTGCAAACCTAGGAGAGAGATTCTCTACGATTCTGATTAAGCGATCAAGACTTACAACATATTGCATGTGAAATTACAATTACAATTATAATGTAATTATACTGCTGTCTGATTTTAAAAAAATGAAAACTCTTTTTTTCATCATCCAAAAATTTAGAAGATTCTGGATGTAGTTTCTATACTTTCAGCTTCTATTGCTTCAGAAAATACCTAATGACTAAAGAAGAGTATAATTTTTTTTTTTTTGGGGGGGGACAGAGCCTTGCTCTGTTGCCAGCTGGAGTGCAGTGGCACGATCTCGGCTCACTGCTGCCTCCACCTCCCGGGTTCAAGCGATTCTCCTGCCTCAGCCTCCGGAGTAGCTGGGACTACAGGCGTGTGCCACCACGCCCAGCTAATTTTTGGTATTTTTAGAAGAGACAGGGTTTCACCATGTTGCCCAGGATGGTTTCGATCTCTTGACCTCGTGATCCACCCGCCTTGGCCTCCCAAAGTGCTGGGTTTACAGGCGTGAGCCACCGTGCCCGGCCAAATTTGTATTTTAAAAGTAGTAACAGGGCCGGGCGCGGTGGCTCAAACCTGTAAACCCATCTTGGGAGGCCGAGGCAGGCGGATCACCTGAGGTCAGAAGTTTGAGACCAACCTGACCAACATGGAGAAAACCCTCTCTAGTAAAAATTAACCGGGCATGGTGGGGGGCACCTGTAACCCCAGCTACTAGGGAGGCTGAGGTAGGAGAATCGCTTGAACCCGGGAGCCGGAGGTTGCAGTGAGTGGTGATCGCGCCATTGCACTCCTGCCTGGGCAACAAGGGGGAAACTCCGTCTCAAAATAATAATAATAATAATAACAGGATCCAAAAATTAGGTGACTGTATATTTCCACGTTAGAGATTTTATAATGTTGCTTGCACATAGGGAATATAGGGGCTCAACCTAGATTCATAGCTTACGAACCACTGATTAAGTGAAGAATGAAAACTCCAGTTAATAAACAATCTCAGGAAAACGCAAGCATGTTGTCCTACTTTGACTAATCCAGTGGGATCCTGCCCTTGGCTATCACATTTACAGTCTTTCTATCTCCATGCCTCAATTTTTCTTCCTGAAAGAAAAGGCAAAAAATGTCCCATATTACTGACTTTACAGAATATTTTCTTGGATTATAATCACATACATAGAAAGGAGAATTAGCTATACATGCAAAATAATATCTAACATTTATAACCAACTTCAAGGTACCTACTTCTATGTACTATGTATTAAATACTGTTCTAAATGGTTTTACCCTATTAATTCATTTAATTCTTACAACTTTAAAATGCTCATTTTGTAGAGGAGAAAACTGGGGCACAGAGAGCTAAAGTAACTTGTTCAAGGTAAAAAACAGTAAGTGATAGAGCCAAGATTCAATTAAGGCAATCTGTCTTAATGATCTGTGGCTCCTAAGCTCTGATACAGGGCCTCCTTGCTCCAAAAAAGGAAAGAAAACATTCAATCATGTGTTCAATAAATACTGAACATCAGCTATGAGCTATTCACTGTTCTAGGGATGAGAATTTAGCAATGAACAGAAAAGGCAAAAATCTTTGCCCACATGGAACTTATGTTCCAGTAAGGGAAAAGTTGCAAAGGATCTACATTACATCATTCTCCTAAATTATCTGAAATGTTCTTTAATTCTTTATTTTGATTTGTGTATTGAGTTATATAACTTAAGTAAAAAATATACATATATGTATATAGCTTTATTCTCCTTAAAAAATTAGTCTTACTGCTATGGACTGAATTGTTTATATTCATAATCATGTTCATATTGCTAATATTTATTTTTAAAATTCATATATTGAAGCCTTAACCCCTCCAATACATGAGACTCTATCAGACACAGGGCCTTTAACGTGATTAAGGTTACATGAAGTCATAAGGGTAGAGCTCTGACAGATTAGGATTAGTGCCTTCCTAAAAAGAGATACCAGAGATCTTGCTCACTCTCCCTGCTCAAATAAAGAAGAGGTTATGTGAGTACACTGTGAGATAGTGGCCACCTACAAGCCAAGAGTAGAGATATCCAACTGAAACCTACCTTGTTGCCGCCTTGATCTTAGACTTCCCGGCCTCCCAAGAGGCTGAGAAACACACTTCTGTTGTTTAGGCCACCCACTCTTTTTTTTTTTTTTTTTTTTTTTTTAATAGAGATGGGGTCTCGCTATGTTTACTAGGCTGATCTCAAACTCCCAGCCTCCTAAAATCCTGGGATTACAGATGTGAGCTACCATGCCTGACCCAGTCTATGTTTTATTGTTATGGCAGCCCAAGCTGACTAAGACACATATGTTGAAATTTATTGAGATAGTAAGTCTTCATTTAATGTCATCGACAGATTCTTGGAAACTGCCACTTTAAGCAAAAGGATGTATACGGAAATTAACTTTACAATAGGCTAGTTGAAATGAACAAGAGTTAATTGTTCATTTCTGGTCACAAAAATATCACCAAACTATTAAATAAAGATCAAACACTTCTAATACTAAACTCTGAAATAAATGTAAGCCACATACACATTTAAGAAAGACCGATAACAACGAGTAAGATAATTAATTCCCCGATTATTCCAGTTCAGTGTGATGAGTGGCAGGAGCCTCCCCTGGCAGTTCAGGACGCAAGGCACGAACCCACCCTGGACAGGCCACCTACCATGTCAGGGTGCACTCGCACTCACAGCACTCACTCACACTGGGACCATGTAGACATGCCAGGTCAGCTCACATGCACATTTTTGGAATGTGGGAGGAAACTGGAGTACCTGGAGAAAATCCACACAGATATGGGGAGAATATGCAAATTCCATACAGATCTTTGTCGTTTCTTTTTCTCCTTAGTGAGAGTTTGAATTTTGTATTAAAGAGCTAAAGAAGAGATGCCAGATGTAGGTGATGGGGAGGAAGGCAGCAAATCATACTGCCACGTGTGTACCTATGCAGCAATCTTGCATGTTCTTCACATGTACCCCCAAACCTAAAATGCAATAAAATAAATGGGAAAAAATAAAAATAAAAATAAAAAAGAATTCCTAATTTTACTTTTTTTCATAGTAAAATATATCTGATTAAAATTCCAACCCATTGCCAGTCTTCACATCATGGGATGTCTCAAGAGCTGTGGTCAAGCACTTAATCCCCAGGAGACCAGAAAGCACCTAAACCCCAGGGGACCAGAAAGCCACGTGCAGAGAAGCAGAGAACCAGGTCTTCCACAACCCTGGACATTCTCTGGGGAGCCAGACAGGGTGGCTGTAGATACTGGTTCCAGGCTAAGTTGAAATCTCTGGTCCCATCTGGGAAATTTTGAGAAGCACTGAAGCAACTTAAAATCCAAGCACACAAGCCATGACATCCTATGACTGGTAGCACACTATGAAGATGCACGTGGCTTTCTGGTCCCCTGGGGTTTAGGTGTTTGACCACAGCTCTTGAGACATCCTATGATGTGAAGATTGGCAATGTGTTGGAATTTTAATCAGATAAATTTTACTATAAAAAAAGTAAACTTAGGAATTCTTTAGCTATTTAATACAAAATTCAAACTCTCGCTGGGAAGAAAAGGAAATGACAAAGATTTCTCTATTTGTATTCTTATAAACAAGAAAAGGCAGGCTGGGCACTGTGGCACTTGTAATTCCAGCACTTTGGGAGGCTGAGGTGGGCCTATCACTTGAGTCCAGGACCCTGTCTCTTCAAAAAATACAAAAATTGACCAGGCATGGTGGCACGTGCCTGTAGTCCCAGCTATCCTGGAGGCTGAGGTGGGAGGATCACTTGAGCCTGGGAGCTCTAGGCTGCAGTGAGCCATGATCGTACCTCTGCACTCCAGCCTGGGTGACAGAATGAGACCCTGTCTCAAAAAAGAAAAAAAGAAAGAGAGAAGGAAAGAAGGAAGGAAGGAAGGAGAAAGAAAGGGAAAGAGAGAGATAAAAGGTAGCCATTTCTTATTTTCATATATTCATCGCTGGCTCTGATTTTTCTCAGCTTGAAACAAACGCTAGGAAATACGCCACCTTCTGGCACTATTTAAAATAGATTTCTCTCAAATAATTTTCAGAGTCAGGGACTTCTAAGAGGCCTTGAAAAAAGTCAATGTATCTTTTTCTGCTTTAAAAAAAAAAGCAGGTCTCCCTCAGCCTCAGCCATGGTGAGTAGCAGGGGCACGAGTCTGAATGCAGTTCGGGAGACCATGGACGGGATGCTGAATAAACTGTGTTGTGCACCTGCATTTTGAGTTTGATCCAGCATATGAGGTGTGGAATTTTCCACTGTGATGTCATGTGGGTGCTTAAAAAGTTTCAGATTTTGGAGCATTTCACTTTTCAGATTTTGGGATTAGGAGTGTTCAACCTGTATTAGTCACACGTTCTGCTTGAGATTTCAAGAATTTTGAATACTAGCTTAGTTATGGAAACTCTGTCTCTT